AATTGAGCATGTTGTGTTATACACACACATACACACACACATATCCTCTTTTTAAAAGACCACAATAACTGTGTTTTTTAAATGGATGCTGACTTCTGCCCCGATAATCTGATGCGCGGTCATGCGAAGATCCTGAGGAAACAAATCCACAACATGGGGCGTGGCACGTGGAACTCGGGAGAGGCAGTGGTGACATGCCAGGACCTGACCATTCAGCAGTTCCAGCCCCGAGGACACTTCTGCAGGAGAAGGATCTGGCCACCTGTTTTTGGAAAGACTGACAGCCTGGAAAGCCCTATGGGGCAGTGTACCCTGTCCTGCAGGGCTGTCTGAGTCAGAATGGACTCAACAGGTTTGGGGTTTAGGTGAACTCTGAATACGTGTTTCTTCTTATGCTGCCCCAACTGGGATGGGTGGGTGTGCACAAGAAGCCTCTGCCTCCCTGCCTTGGTAAAAGGTTGCGTGGGCCCGAGGGGCTGAAGACTCGCCTGTCCTATCACTAACAGGCTTTTTACCTCCGGCCTCTACTGATTTTGCGGAGATCATTCCAAGTGAGGGTTTCGCTCCATTCCTCTGGGCCGAGGGTGAGCCCTGGGAAGAAAGGCAAACCGTTCGTTTTGATCCATTCCGACCACGTTCTTCTTGGAATTTATTCATGGGCTCTGATTGGGAACGAAGAGAGCAGAACACAGGCTTCCTCTGTGAATGTTCTAGAGGTGCTTGTGCTGGAAGGACTGAGAATTCCAGTGGAAAATCACTGGAATTGTTTAAAGGCAAGGACTCGAGAGAGTAAAATGGGCCGAGTGTCTCCTAAAGCATAGTGGGCCACGCATCGGGCTGCTCGAGGGAGAGGGTGAGACTTCTACTCCATAAAGATTTGCAACCTGGAAAACTCAGAGGGACACTTCTGTCATGCCCTGCAGGCTCAAGGAGTCCCCATGGACTCAATGGCCGTGAGTTGGGTCATGTTTTCAAATTGAGTTTTGGGGGTTTCTATTGAGAAGAAAGCAGCATAAATAGTTAAGTGCTCTGCTACTAACTGGAAGGTTGGCAGTTCTCACCTACCCAGAGGCGCCTTGGAGGAAAAACCTGTCTGCTTCTGAAAGGTCACAGCTGTGGAAAAGCCTGACAGTGGTTCTCAGCCCTCCTCACGTGCTTTCACGCTGCGAACCTCCAACCAGAACGTTATTTTCTTTGCTACTTCATCACTGTCATTTTGCTACTGTTATGAGTCGTCATGTAACTATCTGATAGGCAGGATGTATTTTCATTGTTACAGATTGAACATCGTTAACACATAGTGATTCATCACAAAATATGTCATTCTATATTGTGAAATATTTATTTCTAATGACAACTACATGAAACTTTGTCTTGAAGCATGGTGTAGCACAGGTAACAGTCTTCACTCATAGGTGGGCGTATCTGCATGTGGCGGACCCGCCTGGAGACGGATAGAAGAGTGGTGTCTTGGTTCCTAAGACCATCGGAACTGTGTTTTCCAGGGATATTAGGTGACCCCTGTGAAAGGGTTGTTCGACCCCCAAAGGGTCTCAACTCACAGGTTGAGAACCACTGCTGTTGGCATTGACTTTAAAGCAACTGCTCAATGGGCATTGTGACACCCGTTTCTCATGGGAAATAATTTCTAAGTGAGACACAAAATGTTTGTGCTTACTCTTTTTTGAAATTCTTTGTTATTGTAAAAATACTTATAACACAACATTTGCTAACTCAGCGTTTCTTCGGGCGTACCACTCTATGTTATCAATTACATTGATTAGGATGTGCAACCAGCATCCACAATCATCACAAAGCATGCCAAGAGAGGAAGAAACGGCAGTCTGCCTCCACACAGGTTTACAGACTTGGAAACCCTAGGGGTTCCACTCAGTCCTGTAGGGTGGAGTACACATCAGAATGACTTCAATGGTTTATAATAAAAAACTCACTGCTTCCTAAGTGCTGGCTCCCAATTCCCTGCTCCCCCATCACTATAACCACTAACAAACTGGCCTCTCCTCAGAATGTTGTTGATAGAAGTAGTAGTAAGGTATCAATAGCTATTCACTGGGCCTTGGTTACGTGTCTCAGGCTTTACAGAGCTCTTGGCTACTCCGAATGTGGGTTCATGAGCGGGAACCAAACACCAAGACCAAACTTGCGGCCGTCCAGCCAATGCCAACTCAGAGCGACCCTACGGGACCGGGTCAAACTGCCCTTGTGGGCTTCCACACTGGAACTCTTTACCGGAGTAGACAGCCTCATCTGTTTCCTAAAGAGCAGGGAGTGGCTTGGAGTGGCTGGCCTTGTGGTTAGCCGCCCAACGGGTCACCACTATGCCGCCAAGGCTTCTTATGCCCTGAAAAAGCAAAGCCAAATTCACCAGCTGGAGAAGTTTCCTGGGAAGGTGACACCAGCAGGGAATCTGACAGCAAAGTAGGCGGTCCCAATGGAGTTCCCCTTGTGATCAGAATGCATTTTGTGCCCTTTTACCCCGGAACACAGTCACATACTTTCCCAAGGGCTTTATGACTCCAGTCACCAAAAATCACAGATGAACATCCAGACAGAAGTGTCAGGGGAGCATTTGTGAGGTCTTAATGCCCCCCACCCCCACCCCCGAAAGCTGTTCGGCAGGACTCACACAATATCTCTGTCCTTGAGCTATACAGAAAGTTATAAAAATTCCAGAGAGGCTGGGGCAGAGGGGGGCAACATGAGGTGAGTTAGACTAACCACAAATGAGGAATAAGGAGAATTGTACTTTAATAAGCTGCAATTTTACAAACATGAACCTCATTTAATCCTCATAAAAACCTACAAGGATAGAGCCATACCATGGAATACTGCTAAGAAATAAAAAAGGAATGGGTGATGATTAATAAGGGCAACAACTTGGGTGAGTTTCCAAGGAATAATACTGAAGGGGGGGGGGGAGCCCAACTCTACAGGTCACATACTGTATTGATTCCCTTTATATAGGATTCTTGAAATTGATCAAATCAAAGAACTGGAGACTAGATTCATGGTTGCCAAGGATTAAGGGGAGAATTGAAAAGAAGTCCTTTAAGTGAGTGCAAAACAAGCCACCGGAGAGATCTTGTGGTGCTGGGAATGTTCTATTTCTCGACTGCAGCAATTTCGATATCCTGGTTGTGACACTATAGTTCTGCAAGATGTCACCATTGGGGAAACCCAGTAAAGGGTACATGGGATCTCTGTGTAGTCAACTTCTTGCAGCTGTATGTGAAATCTATCATTTTCCTCAAGTGACAACCAAAAAAGGCTGAAGGCTTATAAGGAATCCAAGTGGCCTAAGAGTTAAACCACTTGCTAGAACCAGCATTCAAATCCAAGACTGTCAGACTGTCAAGTTGGCTTGAAGACGTGGCTGTGTTCTAGGACCTCATTTAGATAGGCCTTGCAATCCCTCAAATCCCCAACCCCCTGCCATCAAAGGCAGATTTTTGTTTAAAAATCGCTGTCCTTGAAAGAGGAGAGCCTTGGGCTGAGATTAGGTAAGCAGGTTCTCCCTTACTGAAGTGTGTGTGTGGGGGGGGGGAGGCAGGGGTAGGAGAGAAGATGACAAAAGAGGGAGAGGACGCCGGTTTCTTGGTCGGTGTCTCTGCATCTGTATCCGGTACATTTGTCCATTTCTCCACTGATATGTCTATTTCCGCCTTGGGGGAGGGGGAGGTGATGCGTCCGTGTGAGTGTGCAAGTAGGTGTCTATGTTATGTCTAAATATACACGTGCCACACCCACATAGCCTGTTCCATTAGGTTAAACCTCCCCCAAAGCAAAGCTGGCTAGTGAGCAGAGCCTGTCACGAACTGTAGAGAAACCGGGTAATTGGGCTCTCCGCCTCCTCACCCAAAACAAACACTCACAAACCGCCTACCCCCCACATCGGCAGGAGGATGCCCCCTCTCCCCGCCATCTGGGCACTTGGCTCTAGTGGTCCACTAGATCCCCCTGGATCCCCCTAGAAAAGGTGAGCG